CTCTCCCACCGCTGCTGGCTCACTGCTTGCCTCCTTACCCCCTCCCCCCGCTCAACTACTCACCCCTCCTGCCGCAGGTCTCTCGGCTCCTAGGATTAGGGGCAGCCAAGGGGTCTCCATGCACTGTGCCCACCACAAGTGCGAGCTCCGTGGCTCCCATTGGCCAGGAAAAACACCAATGGGAGCTGCGGGAGCCTCCTCACCCCCGCCCACCCACCCAGCCGGTGCAGCAAGCTCCCTCCTGCCCAATCAGAGCTGCAGGGGTGGTGCTTGCAGGCACCGGCAACAGGCAGAGAGCCCTCCGCCCCAGAACCCCCCGACCCGACCCTAGGAGCCAGAGGGACCTGCTGGATGCTTCCAGGAACCGACCCAGGTAAGCACCACTGGGACTCCCCACCTCGCCCCCCAGCAGGTCCCTCTGGCTCTTAGGGTAGGGTCGGGGGGAGGGCTCTCTGCGTGCTGCCTGCAAGCCCCGCTCTGCGGCTCCAACAGCTCCCATCTAGGGTTACCATACGTCCGTATTTTCCCAGACGTTTTTAGATATTTGAAAATTCCTCCTGGACGGTGATTTAAGAACTAAAAAGCCAGACATGTCCAGGAAAATACGGACGTATGGTAACCCTAGTAAAAAGTCTCTTTGCCCCAGGCACACATTTGCCTAAGTTCAGGAAGCTCAAAATGCAGGTCTCCTGGGCCATGACATCCAAATTGTAGAGGGTTTAAAAAAAAAAAAATTCGCTCTCCAAGTGCAGTGTCACCAAGGAAGAAGCACGCCAACCTGTAGTGAGCTGGCTCTAATGTGTTGTGGAAACATTCCTCTTGGTCTGAGATTTGGTAAAAGCTTAGCAGGTAAGGGCTGGATGCTGCTTTCACTGAAGTCAATAGACGTTTTACCATTAACTTCAATGGGCGGGAGAGCAGGCCATATATATCTAGAATATAAATTACAAATCTATTTGGGGAGAGAGAGAGAGAACCTAAATCTTGGCCCAATCTGACCTAAGAATGTTCCTTTTCAGAAGTGCATCTTGCAGCATTTCATCTGACTGAGTATGAACACTGCACAGCTTGACACCTGCATTACCATTACTGTCTAGCAGCCAGTCGTGGACCTAACGTCTATTTTAATGTGGCTTCTGAACTGGGGGGGGAAACGCTATCAAAGTTCAAACCACATTCTGCTTTTACTTACCCCAGTGCAAATTGGGTGTAAATGCATCAGCGTCAAAGTCTGTCTGCTCCTACCGTGAAAGAATTTAGTCCTTACCCAGTTAATATTTACTCTTGCTCAAGAGAGCACACAGCACTTCACAGGGTGGATGGGTGTGTTTTTTTTGTTGTGTAGGTTTTTAGCACCTACCACACAGTTAGTGCCTGAAAGAGATGCACAGCTGGTGGACTTGGAAAGGCCTTCTAGTGCTAATGTAAGGAGACCCTGGAAGCTTGTTCTGATCTCCCAGTTAGTGTCATCAGTGTTCGTTATTAATCATCCCTGGTCATTCTCCTCTTGAAGGTTCTCTGCAAGAACGGGAGGAGTGGGAGGCCAGAGATGGCATTTCCAAGGCCTTGATGAAAAGACTGTTTAAACCTAGATGTGTTTGGGTGCTATATACAATTGAGAGTGAGCTCAGCAGATTCCAAGACATGAGATCCTTTGGAACAGCCACAGGCATGCCTCAGCCACACTTTCCTTTCAGCAGCTCCATGAGTTTTTGGCATATTAATGTGCCCTAACTTGACTGTGGGTAACCTGAAATTGTAACTAAAACTCAAGTGATAGTAAATCCCCGTTTAACCAGAATTGCTCTCCCGCCCTGCTTTCAGCGGCTAACCTATGAAGAGAGAATGGCTCGCAGGCTGCTTGGACCAGAAAATGCTGCTTCTGTGCTTGTAACTCAAAATGAAGAAAATTTGCAGAACTCACAGGTAAATGAAAATTGTCCAAAACTAGTGTCCGTTGTCTGTTTAAATTTTCAGTCACTTGTACTGGAATGGGGTAGGGGAATAGGTCTCTTTGTGGAGTACAAAAGAGGAAAAATCAAGATACCTACACTGATAAACTTCTGTATAGCCTCCTCCATCTGAGGATTTCAAAGCACTATATGAATAGTAACGAAGGCCCAGTCAGAGATATTTAGGTGCTTAACTCCCCATGGGAGTTAGGTGCCTATAGACCTTGGGGAATCTGGGCTTTAACCCTTAGATCAACCGTCAGGTTGGGATATATAAGAATTCCATCTCTGGGAGGAACAGAACAGCTGTTTCACAGCAACATTGCATGATTGTTTAGGACAGGAGTGATGACTAATACAATAATCAATTTAAATGGCAGGGGGATTCAGGTAAGTCTTATGTAACTGCCTGAGTTAGAACTTGGCTAGGACATAGGGATTAACTAGTGTTATGAATAGTGACATGACCACAAGAGGTCAGCATCTGGGTTTTGGATTTTTTTTTTTATATAAACATCCTGTCCAAAAGATGAATAATTAATGCTAGCTGCTAGGATGACATTGGATACAAGGTTAATACAAGGAGGAAGAAAACTCATGAAATAAAACCGAAGGGGAAGATAGACGAATGTGTAAAATACTACTATAGAAGTTGATCCTGTATTGGGCACTGCAGATAACAGGGGACATATAGCTAAGCTGCTAAAAAAGCATATCTGATTTTTGGATTTGTAAACAATATCCAAACAATATCCATTTGCTG